CAACAGCTCTGAGACACAATGAAATTCTTCATCCCTTAACCCTCTCCAAAACCCAAAATCCTAATTTAAAGCCAAAGGGCAAACCGGGGGTGGGGGGGGGGAAGGAACCAAGAAATGGGTTTCTTTTTAAAGAGGGAGATGGAATAGAGAGAAGGGAAACGATCTTTTAGGGGTTGAGTGCTCACCCAAGTATCTTCCCAAAAAAGAATAGAGTTTCCAGAAAAAGCATCGTACCTTACAAACCTGAGGAATTCTTTCTTTAATAAAATTTATGTTACTCATCCAAAAAAACTTTACTAATAGATACATATTAGTTTTTTTTGTAGATATAATCATAAATATAAATGTTTAAATATTATTTAATTGGATTGGATTGGGGTAGATTCATATTTGATCCAATTGAACTCCAAAATCTGCAAGTGCAACAAGATCAAGTGTTTGCCTATCCTGCATTCCTAGGTCCATTTGACTCTTTTACCCTAAGTTAGAAGGAAGTCTTCTCTTAGATTTCCACCTCTCTGTAATGGGAAATTCTTATTTTGATTTGATGTGATAACCATGCTCCACATGTCTGTTATCAGGATCCTTATCCTCCTTGGTGCCTTGGTTTTGCCTACAATGATGTCTATTACCATCTTCAATTCTCCTTTGATCCACGCATTGCTCAGCTTCTTTTCATTTGTTATCAATACTGTTTCTCTGGCTGATGTTGTTTCTGCAACACGGATGTTAGTTGTTCCTATCTTCTTTTTAATCTACTGTCCACCCTTCTTTCCCTCAATATGCAACCAATAGCCGCTTTGTCCTCATCCTTCACTGATGTGCCAAAGTTGATATTATCTCCTGGTGTTATGGTGGCTTCAATTTGACTTTAGCTTTGTTCCTTTTCTTCCTTGTCTGTTGCCATTCCCTTATTTTAGTTTGTGCACTTCCAGGTATTCTAGTAAGCCCTTTTGTGCTGCCTCTTCAATCCTTGCTGGGTTGGATGTCTTTGCCCCCATATTTCTCCATATCACATTGCTTACCATATTATTATCCCAATAATGTTCCATCCTCCTATTACCAATGTGTCCCTTTTGTTGGTCCATGGCATTTMAGGCTGACCATTAGCTATATATGCTTTACAACTGTGCACTTTAAAGAGATGGTTTACGTCCTCTATAATTCTTTTGACCCGGGGGAGTGGGGGTGGATATCATTAACCGTGTGAATCATTGTACGGAGACCATCTCTTGCTTTTCTTTCTTTTCYTTTAGGGGGAGGGTGGTAACTTCATTTTGATTATCAAAATAAAGAGATAAACCATTGAGTATCTATATCTCACAAGAAAAGGGTAAAATAATAATCAAAGAAAATGAAAATTATGACCATCTTCTAATTCTCCAAAATTCCTTAGTTCTCATCAACAAAAATCAACCAACAACACGCATCAAATACCACGGTTTCACGTCTGAGARACCAAAAGGTAGGGAAGATAAACAAAAACGAAGAATTAACCACATCCATCTCCACCAAAAAATTGAACAACCCATAACAGAAACAAAACCCAAGAAAAGGGCGTCAAAAGAAGTCCTACCGAATCGTCCTCGGAGAGGCAGTCGTCGCCCTTATCGTGAGGTTTACCTCCACCAGCATCCTCCACAATACCATCGGCCAAATCGTCAGCACTATAGATGGAGGAAACAGTGTCAAAAATCTCGGGAGGGAGAGGGAGATTTCTGGAGATAAGATTGAGAGCACAGATCAATGTCTTGGTCTTCTGAACTTGGTCGAGGGAGGGGTGATTCTCCAGCTGAGCCACCATGGCGGGAAAGAAGAAACGGATAGTAACTGATATTTGAGATTTCAAATATATAAAAAAAAAACTAAACGGTGTTTGCCTTCTGCTTACAAACTCTTCTCACTCAATTTCTCTCAATCCGTCTCGTCCTCTTTCACTTCGCAAAACCCCTCTCCTTCTCGGTTCCATATGGAAGGATAATAGTGACAATTTACGGAAACCATCCCTGCTCTTATACAAAAGGACGGAAATCAACCCATTGTTTGTATTGACTAAGATACCCTTGTACATGTTCTAATTTCTAAAACATGAGCTGTCATGTGGTGAGATTCTAAGGACCAAAACATGCATGAAAGGACTTTCTTGGCACAATGTACGGTTTTATGCAGAGCTTCAGACTGTTGGATTTGGATAGGCGGTCCCACCATCTTATATAATACTAGCGGAGCTCCGTGCGATGCACGGAAAAATCCGGCATTTAACAATAAGATAAATGGAAATTTCACTAAATGCAGAAATTATCAGTAATTATCATAAGTTATGGTAAATTTAATGAAACTTACTGTTAATTATATATAGTTAATTTAAATAATTTTAAATCAAAAGTTAATTAACAATGAATTAAAGTCAAGGTAAATTTATGTTTAACCCCCTCCTTCTATTAATTAAATTACTCAACCGTTGACCCACGACCCGATTCACTATCCAAACTTGTCACACATGAGACCCATGCAATACATGAGTCCTCCAAGCAAAATTGAGGAAAAATAATCTTTTCTCGAGTTGGGTGAGCCAATTCAAGTCCAACCCAACCATTATTTTATTAATGGGTAACATTATCAATCTTTAATTTAATGAAAATAAATTTTAAAATTAATGCATTTGTATAACCATCTAAAGTTACTTTTCATGTTTATATAGAAAATTCCAAATTTTGCCAAGAATAACCAATTATGAATGAGCTATAGCTTTTTTGTCCAAATTAACTATTATTTATATATAATTAATGATTAATATGATATCTTTGAATTAATATAGAATAATAATTCTTAATTATTATTATTATTGTTATTAGTATTATTATTATTATTATTATTATATTTGAGTAATTATTAAGTTACCATGCTATTATTCTATTGAATAAATAAATTTAAATTAATGTAATATTAATTTAATAACTAGTTTAAATTGTTATTAATGGGCATGAATCAGTTCAACCCCAATTAATAATTGGTTAATTAGGCTCAGTTTGAAAGGAATACAAATACAAATATGTAGAGCGTAAAAGCATGTATTTATATGTATTTGTACTATACATATTTACATTTGTACTCTTTCCTAACTGAGCCTTAATAACAATCAGCTTTATTCAATTAATTAATTAATATAGTGAATTGTTGAAACTTCCCTAGTTCCCTTTACTTTTTGACAATTATGGTTCAATAGCTTGCTTTAGGCTAATAACACTATTCTTTCTCAAACTTTTTGACATCGTTGCATCTACACCCCTCCATTATCTTGAGCTGATGGAAGCAGCAAAATTACCAAAATATCCAACGTTGATCACTTGAATGGTAAACTGACTTAAATTTTCCATTCCCTATTACATTGACTATAAAATTCATAGAAGTTTTGTGTTTTTTTTTTTTTTTCTACAATTGCTACATAGTTTATTGAAATTTATATATAATAATATCCGATTCAGTTTAGGCTCAATCTGAGCTTATTTGAGAAAGCCCTAGCTTGAGCATGTCGACCTAAAATTTTGTCCAAGCCTRATAAAAAATAGACCAGCTGGGCCAGCCTGTCAAGAGCTATCCGACCAAATGAACARGTCTATTGCCACCCAAGTTGTACAAACATTTTTTTTTTTTTTTTGCAAAAAGTACAACAGCTCTACCGATACATACTTACTCATGGCTCAAAAGTGCCCGTTAAAACCTTTGATGCCAATTGATGGTGGGTAAATGTAAACCCGAATGTCCTTTCTTCACCTAACATCAACCAAAAAATACATTTAGGCTGTGTTTGGTTTGAAAGAAAAGGTAGGAAAAGAAAGGAAAATGTAAGGAAACTTTTACAAACCTTRTATAGATTATTAGATTTCCCTATGTTTCTTTTTCTTTTCCTACCTTTTCCTTCAAACCAAACATAGCCTTAGTTATTGTATTTGAATCGAAAGAGTCCGCGACAGCAAACGAAGAATACTCCCTCCTGCCGTCGTGCAGGTTTCCCTCTTGCTGCCGTGCAGGTATCTCAGATCTCTTACCATGGCAGACGAAAACCTCCTGAACGGAATATCAAAACTTCTCTTACCACATCCTAATAGTCCTATCGAAGCAAAAGAAGAAGATTCTTCTGATGGAAATGCATGGCAAAGAAGCTTGCTGTTCAAAGTTTTCACAGACAAACCAGTAAAAACCATGGGGCTGAAAGAAATGATTTCAAAGGTTTGGAATGTTGCAAACTCTGCAAGCGTGGATTTCACAACAGATTCTTTTCTTGTGAAGTTCTCTAGTTCTTTTGAGAGAGACCAAATTCTCAAGAAACGACCATGGCTTTTCGAGGAAGACCTTCTTATTTTACAGAAAGTTGATCCTAACAAACAGCCATCTTCCTACATATTTTCTCGTGCAGATCTCTGGGTGCATTTGCTTGATCTTCCGGTGGTGTACCTGAATGCAAATGCCGCCTGTAATGTGGGATCGGTGTTGGGTAAACCATTTAAGCCATCCCCAGAAGATGTGAAGAAATGGGGTCAATTTGCTCGGCTCAAGATTCAGATAGATATCACTGAACCTCTACCACAAAGTATCCCATACAAATTACTAAATGGAGACGTCATTCAAGTGCAGGTTCAGTATGAAAGACTCCCAAGGTTTTGCTCTTTTTGTGCTCGTATTGGCCATGAAGTGCAAGGATGTAGAATCCAACATCGTCTCCATTCAGCCATTGATTCTTGTTCTGATGAAACAATCAAAGGGAAGCTTAAGGCGTTAGATACCACTCGAGTTACAGAAGGTATCCGCAGTCCCCAGGCTTCAAAAGCCCAAGCAAAGAAGGCCAGGGGTGGTGCCGGAGAGACTTCACCGCATCATTCTCCGGCGAACTTTGATGGTAACGGTCATGACAATGGAAAGTCAAAGAGTCAGAGTGACTGTTGGAAGGAGGGCGGTTTTCCCTCCAATAATGCTGGTAATGATGGTGATAAATCAAGCAAGAAATCTGCCTCTCCAAACGTTTTATCTAATCATGGTAATTAAAGTTTGGAAGGTAATAACCCTTCAACATCCTCCTGGTGCCAATTATAACTGATACGTGCATGAACATGGACTTGGAACATTTCGTGGGTCCCAGTGTATAATAAATCCTTCCAACTTCAAAATTTGACTCGTAGACCGACGCCTTCTCTCCATGGACTTAATACCGTCGGTTATAACCAATCTTGCACGATGGAGATAATTTCGGACAGAAATTTAAAGAGAAAATCTGCCAGTGAAGACTCTACTGTTTTCTCTCTCATGTCCAAAAACTTGGACCATGGCATTTTGATGAAAAAGCCCGCCTTCGTCGCGAGCTTCATCAACCAAAAGATTTGATCTCTGACCCTTCGACTGCATTGGCTGAGGTGATAGGCCAGAATGAACAGTTCGAAATCAGAAGAAAAAGAAGAAGAGAAACTTCTCATTCATCAAAAAAAGTTGCTACTAAGAGTAGCTTACATGAGCTTATATACAAAACCAAGAGACTAACATAAAGAATAACAAACTTTGTAACTAACGGAAAGAATAATAGAAAGAATAACAACAAAATGCCAGTTCACTAAAACTAACTAACTAATTCTCTAACTCACTTAACATAATAAATAACTAAATGAGCTACACTAAAATTACAGCAACTGTACATCCCCCCCTCAAGTTGGAGTAGGATTGAGTTCAGTCATGCCCAACTTGGACAATAGCTTGAAAAACTGAGAGCCTGAAAGAGATTTAGTGAATAAATCTGCTAGTTGCTGATGTGTAGAGATGTGTTGAGGAGAAACCATTCCAGCCTTGAATTTTTCACGCACCAAGTGGCAGTCAATCTCAAGGTGCTTGGTTCTTTCATGAAAAACAGGGTTAGCTACTATGTGAAGTGCAGCTTGATTATCACACCACAAGTTTACAGGAAGCTGAAGTGGAATGTGAAAATCATTGAGAATATAAGTGCACCATTGAATTTCACACACTGTTGAGGCAAGACTTCTGTACTCAGCCTCTGTAGAAGACCTTGAGACTGTGGTTTGTTTCTTGGTTTTCCAAAAAACCAATGTTGAACCAATATAAACACAATAACCAGTCAAGGAACGTTTGGAATCAGGGCATGAAGTCCAATCTGCATCACAGTAAGCTTCGAGTTTCAATGAATTATCAACAGAGTAAAATAATCTTTTAGCCGGAAAACCTTTCAGGTACTTAAAGGCATGTAAGGCAGCATTCCAATGATCCATGGTTGGGACAACAACAAATTGACTAAGTTGTTGAACTCCAAAAGTAATATATGGTCTTGTAAAATTCAAATACAACAACCTTCCCACCAATCTTCTGTATTTATGAGGATCAGACAACAAAGCACTGGATTTATTGAAAAGTTTAAGACCTTTAGGCAATGGGGTGGCTGCTGGCTTAGCACCTGAAAGCCCTGCATCCTTAATCAAGTCCAAGGTATACTTCCTTTGACTTAAGTAGGTTCCTTCTGAATTTCTAGCAATTTCAATACCAAGAAAGTATTTGGCATAACCCAAGTCTTTAATGGTAAAATTAGAGTCTAAAAACTGTTTCACCTTAATAATATCATTCTCATTATCACCTGTAATTAAAACATCATCAACATAAACCAGGAGAGCTAAGAAGGATTGATTTGACTTTCTGATAAAAAGGCAGTGATCACGAGAAGATTGAACAAAACCATAACCCTTTAACTTTGAGCAAAATTCTGAATTCCACTGCCTTGATGCTTGCTTAAGCCCATACAAAGACCTTTTAAGCCTGCACACTTCACCCTGTTTAGCCTTTGTATTTCCTTCTGGTGGGGTCATATAGACTTCTTCATCAATATAGCCATGTAAAAAGGCATTATTGATGTCAAGCTGATGGATAGGCCACTGTTTAGCAGTTGCAATTACCATAAAAATTCTGACAGTAAC